GTCATCGAAATGCACATCAGCCCAATTGGTGAGAAATCTGTGGTTGGGGGCAGCTATCTCCAGGTACGTTGTTCCCATTCCTTATCTACCCTCTCAATCTCTTCTTACCGTGAGGAAGTGAATCCAACTTGAGTGTCCTCTCTTTGGTAAGGAGTCGTGTGCGCTCTATCTTGAGAGACGGCATTCTTCCCGGTGGCGCATCTGGCAGGAGAGGGCGGTGCCTCTGAAGGGCCCTGGTCGAAGCACATGGGTCACGGTCACCATGTCAACCCAATGGGATTAGTACACGCATGCGGTGGCTGCTTTGTCCATTAAGGCTCTTTGCTGCACTGATAGAAGGGGTGTGCGGACTGACCAGTCCTATTGAGACGCTCCCAGACCGCCTATAAACATTTCTGGTTGGGGTCTGATCTGTCCACTGGCTGTGATCGTCGTCCTCTTTGCGACGTTAAATAATTCCTTAGGAGATGGGGGCTCTCCTTAAATCCTTCCTGATCAGCCAGATCAGTCAGACGTAAGGTTCGTTGCACGCGAGGATAAATAACGGGGCAGGCTGGTCATAAGCACAGGGGTGGGCCGTGGTTGCACACCTTAGACACCGCAGCTTGATGATGCTCACAGGTACGTTGGATACAGGGGAAGGGGATTCCAATTGTGAACTCAACTGTACATCAGTGACATATCCATTGTGCATACATCTGCTCACACTAGTCTGAGTTTTTATTTTGATTAGTTGGTTGATCGACTGCTGACACCTAACAGACAGAGTAGGACTGTAATCTACCATAGTCAGTTCTCCTCAAATCTTCTGTACAGCCTAATCAGAATAGAGTTAGACAATGTGTACAGTTTGTGTAGATGCTGTTGATGCCGCTTGACTAGTAGACTAGGTAACTCGCCGGGTATTTATTTAATTATTTATTTTTAGATCCGGTCAGACGCATGCTGCGGTAGGTTCCAGCGAGGACATTAGTGCAGACAGCGTCTGCGTAACCTATGAGTGGATCAGAGGGTGGTGAGGGTGCAGATGACGACAGGAGGTTAACAAGGTTATCATCCCTTAGAATCCCTAGAGTGTTCCAGACCCTACAACCGAGAGAAGAGAGAAGATTAAGGGCCGAAGCTAGGGCCCGTAATCTTGAGGCTGCAAGAGAAGCAGCAGCCGCTAGAGCGGTAGCAATGAGTAATGCTACTACTGCAGCAACTGCTGCGAACTCAACTGGTCAAGGGCTAGGTATGCCTACCAGTTCACARTCAATCTCCAGTACGTCAGGGGTTGGCACTAGTCAGATGGCGGGCTCGCAGTTCAGCTCGCCACCTCCACGCACCCAGGAGCAGATGGAGCTCCAACAAGTAGAGAAGATCCGGTTGAGGCTAGAGGAGGAACTTAGGCAGGCTACTAAAAGAGAGAAAGAGATAAAAGAAAGAAGTGTCAGATTAGAGGGCAGGGAGGCAGACATGGCTGCGCTAGAGGCACTAGAGGACTCTGCACTCAACACTACAGGAAAGATCCTGAAGGCAAGGGTCCTATCCATGCATGCGTACATAGATAGTAAAATGGAGGCAATGCAGGATACTCGACCAGATTCTGCAAGCGCTGCATAAGTCAGGAATCCCGCCAGCAGCTTTACCATCGCTGCCACTCTCAGCTATGACAGGCCTCTATGCAGCTCAATCAGGACCACCACCAAGTGTGTTATCAACAGTAGCTCTATCTCAGACTGTAGCTTCTTCATCTTCTGGTCCAGCGACTGTTGTTACATCACAGTCGCCACCTGTTTCACAACAGGGACAACAATATCCTTGGTACCCTAAGACCCCACTGAACCCACCTGCAACCTTCTCAGGAGACAAGAAGGATGAGGCTCTCGACACATGGTTGAGAACGATGCTAGTGTGGGTGAGGGCAAAAAGGACATTGGTAGAAGAGGAGGTGATTACTGCTGCATCCTACGTAGAGGGTTCAACAGCCCGCTGGTTAAATGGATTGGTAGCTTCAAAAGGGCTTCGGCAGGAACATGCATGATTGGGCGCAGATCCACACGTTAGAAAGCTTTATGGACTTAGTGGAGGCTCGTTGGCACAACCCTCAGCAGGCACAAATTGCCACTGATGGGCTCTTGAAACTTGATACTAAAAAGTACAAGTCTGTGCGAGAACTCACCACAACCGTAGAGCGCCTGATCGTCGTCCCGGGAGTGGAGTACAATCCACAGGTCTTGCTGACCATGTTCCTGAGACATTAGGAATCTATTAGCCAGCGAGGCTCGCAGAGAGTATCTCACATTTGAGTCATTCAGCAAGAAAGCCCTAGACTTAGAGGCTATGCTGGGTGGAGCTCAAACCCCTTCTACGGATGGGAGAAAGAAGAAGACTCCACAAGACTGGAAGAAAAAGGGTAGTCGATTGATGATGGTTGATTCCGATGGGAATCAAACCGAGATCGATGATGTTTCCGATCGTGTGGAGAGTTCAGAGTTTGACGGCGAGGAGAGTGCTGAGGGTAGCAACCTCGCCGCCGTAGTTAAGACTAAGGCAGCTGGCCGCGGCAAGGGCGGTCAACAAAGGAGTCAGGGGCAGGCCGCTAACCCAAACAAAATAGTTGTTTGGGTTAGAGCAGGTCTGGATCAAGAAGTGTGGCGGGATCGTTGGTCTCGTGGTGCTTGCATTAACTGCGGTAAGTATGGTCACACACAGTTCAAATGCAAGAACCCGAAGGTCTCGCAGAAGATCCCTCCTAAGGGTGGGTTTCCTTCTTCTCTATCTGGGGCCTCTACGAGCTCCAGCTCGGGGTTCCAAAGACGGCCATCGCTTCTCCCAAACCTTTTTCAGGGGACAAGAGGGGCAAAGACCTCGACACATGGTTGAGGTCAGTGCCAGTTTACGTCAAGTGTAAATTAACCTTGCCGCACGAGGAAGTGCTTGTGGCTGCCTCCTATTTAGAGGGTAGTGCAGCAAGATGGTTGAGTAGTTTAGTGCAGTTGCAGGGTACAATCACGACTTCCGCGCTTGGGCAGTCAACCAGAAACTGGATGACTTCCTGAAGCTGGTGGAAGATAGGTGGCACGATCCTCAGGAGGCTCAAAAGGCCACTGACGCGATCCTGACTTTGAACCATAGACAATTCAAGTCAGTAAGAGAGGCCACAGACGCAGTACAACGTCTGATTTATGTCCCTGGAGTGCGCTATGACCCCCATGTCTTACTCACCCCCTACCTGAGATGTTTTCCTATGCCTCTCGGGAATCAGTTGGCAGGTGAGGCCAACATCAACATGCACAACTTCCCTTCGTTCAGCAAGAAGGCCCTAGACCTTGAGGCAAAGATAGGGCATGGACAGACACCCACAACGGACGGTAGGAAGAAGTCACTGCCTCCCACCTGGAAGGCGAAAGGCCGCATAATGTTCGTCGACAACGATGGTTCCACCATTGAGCTAAAAGACGACTTCCAGGCTGGAGTGGGTTCAGAGGCGGGCAGCGTAGAGGTTTCAGGGGGTGGAACAGTCGCTGCCTTAGTCCAGAAAGGTAAGGTGGCCGATAGACGTCGTGGAGGTTCCTGGTCTAGGAGTCAAGTTGACCCCAATGCTCCTCCATGGGAGAATGTGGGTCTAACAGAGGACGTGTGGAGAGATTGGTACACCCAGTAGGCTTGTATCCGTTGTGGCCAGTATGGCAATAATCAGTTCGAGTGTCGGAACAAGAAGGTGACCAAGAAGATCCCGCCTATGATGGGGCAGGCGTTGGGATCCTCTGCTCCCGTAGGTAGCAATGTGGCCAGCAGTTCTGACACTGCTCTGGGAAACACGTCAGGCCAGTAGGAATAGTAGTTGTTCCTGCTAGGGTCGAGGTGGTGGACACACCCTCACCATCTCGAGAGATGGCCCAAGCTACTGACTCCATAGTCGTCCCGCAAACACATTCGGACCCGGCTAACAGAGCGATCCTCTGTTAGCTGAATGTGTTTGAGTTCTTAGAGGAGCTAGAGGAGGAGTGGTCTAGATCGGACCCGTTAGCTTCTTGGACGGCCATGGCCAAAGCCCCTAAGGGTGAGTTGTTCGTCGGCGGGGTAGTCATCGGCGGTCGTAAGGCCGGGGCCTATTATGACACTTTCTCGACGCGTAACTTCATTAGTCGCGCGTTCGTTGAGAGGTGGCGCTTAGAGGAGCAAGTGCAGCGCCTGAGTCGACTTGTGGAGTCAACTTGTGCCAACAAACAATGCGTGGTAGTCAATGCTACCTCATAAACATTGAGTGTATTTTCCCGTACGTGGGAGGGGAACTGAGATATCGAGTCTCGTTCATCTCCCTATGGATATCTTGTTAGGTATGTACTACCTCTCCGTTGCACAACCCCAGGTCGACTGGGACCGAAACGTAGTCAAACACACTTTGCCTGGAGGAGGGACCGCCAAATTACGCAAGTTCAAGGCTAGTAGTCTGATCGAGTCCTACGGATGCATGTGTGCGGCCGCGTTCTACAATTATTATAAGCAAAATCCGGAGGAGGGTATGTACTTGGTTTACGTCTCTGCAGAAGGCGAGTCGGTGAAAACGCCTCCAGAGACAGAGGGAGTGGTCGCTAGGTACCCTGATCTATTTGAAGAGCCGAAAGGGGTTGTTGAGAGGGAGGTTGTCCATGCGATGGAGATTATCCCAGGGTCTAGTATCCCAAAGGGTAGGATTTATTGGATGTCTCAAGGTGAGCTCGATGAGCTTCGCCGGCAACTCAAGGATCTCATAGAGAAGGGTTGGATCCGGCCTAGTGTCTCCCCTTACGGATCTCCAATTTTATTTGTACCGAAGAAGGGGAAAACCTTGAGGATGTACATTGACTATAGGGGCCTCAATGCCATCACTGTGAAGAACGCAGAGCGCTTACTGCGCATGGACGGCTTGTTGGATCTAGTGCAAGGGTGCCGATACTTCAGTAAGATAAGTTTGGGTACCATCAGATTGCAATACGGCCCAAGGATCAACACAAAACCGCATTTCAAACCAGGTACGGTCTATACGAGTTTGTGGTGATGCCTTTCGGTCTTTGCAATGCTCCTGGCACCTTTCAGCACGCGATGAACCGGATATTTCATGACTACATGGACAAGTTTGTCATCGTGTACCTCGATGGCGTACTTATCTTTCGTAGGACTGTCAAGGAGCACGTAGCGCATTTCGACAAAGTCCTTAGCTTCCTCAGACAACACCAGTTCAAGATTAATCGGGAGAAGCGTGAGTTTGGCCGCACCTGGATCTTGTACCTGGGTCATGAGATTTCCGCGGAGGGTTTGAAGCCCGATGACGCGAAGGTGGCCAGCTTTCGTGACTGGCCGCGTCCTCAGTCTGTGACTGAGATGAGGTCCTTCTTAGGGATGACAGGCTACTACCGCAACTTCGTTCAAAATTATAGCATAGTGGCCGCCCCTTTGACAGACCTGACATGCCTTGACACCCCATGGGAGTGGACGGACAGGTGTGAGGCTGCTTTCATACATCTCAAGCATGCGTTGACACACCATGAGGTCTTGAAACTTCCTGATCTTGACAAACCTTTCGTTGTGACTACGGATGCCAGCCAATATGGCATTGGTGTCGTACTTGTGCAACAGGAGGGAAAGAAGTTGAGGCCGGTAGAGTACATGGCCAAAAAGATGCCCTCCAAAAGTTGGCTAAGTCCACCTATGAGGAGCTCTATGCGATCTATAAAGCGCTAACCCATTGGAGGCACTACCTCCTAGGACGCTGCTAATATGTCAGGACTGATCATCAAACCCTGAGATGGATGAAGACTCAACCAGTACTCTTCGACGCTCTGAAGCGTTGGATCGAAGTCATTGAGCAGTATGACTTCGAACACCAGTGCATCAAGGCGGAGTACAACAAGGTTGCTGATGCGTTGTCGCGTAGGCCAGATTTTCTCGGTGCGGCACTGAATTTGGGCTTGCAGACGATGTTACTCAGTCGTTGGTGGAAGCCTATCGCGAGGACCCGTTCATGTCAGAGGTCATACGCAGACTCGAGGCGAAAGACAAAACTACGTCTGAAGAGTTTGAGTTGATCAATGGCCTGCTGTTCCTTGAGAAGGCCTGGAATAAACGTCTGTGTGTGCCTAATCGGGAGTCTTTGCGTAGTTTATTTTTAGGCGAATGTCACGATGCCACTAGACATTTTGGGTATAGGAAGACTGCAGCAAATCTGTTGCAGCGATTCTGGTGGCCCACAATGATGAAGGATGCAAAGCTGTACGTGGAAACTTGTCAGGTGTGCCAGAGAGATAAGCCACATGCACAGGCCCCTCTTGGGCTTCTTAAGCCCCTTCCGGTTCTGGAAGGCCCTGGTGAGAGCCTGTCTATGGATTTCATGGACATGCTAGTCACCAGCAAGAGCGGAATGAGACATGTCTATGTCATTGTGGATAGGTTTAGAAAGTATGCTAGATTAATAGCAATGCCTGCTACAGCTAAGACCAAGTATGTGATCAAGCTGTTCAAAGAGAACTTTGGGCTTCCAAAGTCTATTGTGAGTGACAGGGATGTCAGATTCACCAGTGATTTGTGGAAGGCTGCAGCTGCAGAACAGGGAACACAGCTGCAGATGACTTCTGGGAACCACCCAGAGGCAAATGGGCAAGCAGAGCAGCTAAACTGCACTGTACAACACCTGTTGTGGCATTACATTAAGCCCAATCAGGTGGACTGGGATGAGAAACTCGCTCTCATCGCCAGCCTGTACAATAACGCTGTGGACAGCGCCACTGGGGTAAGCCCTAACAGCCTGCTACTGACTTTCAAGCCTAGACTGCCCCTAGGCTTTTTACTACCTGATAACCAGCTAACTGCTGCACTGGGCACACTTGAATTTGCTTATCGTTATGAACAACTGATGCAGCAGGCAGTAGAACAGATGCATAAGGCACAAGCGGCAATGATAGAGTCTGAGAACAAACACCGCCGCCCATCTACATTTCAGGTAGGGGACAGAGTCTGGGTAAAGTCGTCAGAACTGGGACAGGAGCACGGGATCTCCCGCAAGCTCATGCCACAGTACTTTGGACCATGGGAGGTTCTAGATGTTGTTGGGGAAGATCCGGATGGGCCATCTTATGTAATCCGGATCCCTGGTCATCTNCATGGGAGGTTCTAGATGTTGTTGGGGAAGATCCGGATGGGCCATCTTATGTAATCCGGATCCCTGGTCATCTTCGTACTTACCCTGTTTTTCACGCCTCTAAACTTGCACCATTCGAAGAAACTGATCAGTTTCCCACTCGTCGCTCAATGCTGCCCCCAACCATGGATGGAGAGGTCGACATCGACGATATCGTGGACCACAGGGAAATACCAGTTCCAAGACCGACAGGCAGGGGACGCCCTCTGAAACCGAAGCTGCAGTATCGCGTTCGGTTCAGACATCACACTGATCCTAAGGAGGATAGATGGTTTACGCGGAAGGAACGGATGCAGACCGCTCCACAGGTTGTTGCCCACTATGAGAAGTTGCAGAAAGGAAAGCGCCAGATTGAATGAACTTCTCAGAGGACTAGCGAAGTATGGAGGAGAGAATGCGAGGCACAAGGCCTCAATAAGCCCCACTGGGCCCTGTTATCAGCAAGGTCGGCCGCCCTAAGTGAAGGCAGGCCCGACCGAGGCCTATTTTGGACTACAACGCAACTGGGGAAAATTCAGCCAGTTGCGCATCGCCAGTTGGTTGGAAGTGCTCAGGCCCAGGCTGCCTTTTATCGTATGTAACTGAGGCAGGCCCTGGGCCGGATACACAACATGGACCGAACAAAGGGCTGAGGGCAGTTGGGAACTAGTAACCACCACAGGCCCTGGGCCTGTTTGTTTTTGGACGGAGGCTCAGCCTCGTGGGGCCTACCGGAAGCTTCTGGGCCGGGGCCCAGTACCACAGTATCGCACGCAGCAGCATGCCACTTCGATATAGGGGAGGGCCTGCCCACGCATTGGTCATTCGGGCACTGGCTGCATGCTGCGCAAGCGCTGCTGCACTAACGCTGGCCAGCGCTCACACGCTCACGGGCGAGCTGGAAGGAGCACGCAGCCATAGCCGAGCTGCGCTGCTGTATGCTGGATGAGGTGCATGGTGGTTCTTGGGTGCATGTGGCACCTGTGAGTTGGGGATCGAGGTTATGAGTGATACGAGAGACATACCTGGTGCTTGAGGTGAACGGCATTGGCCGAGATCTGCCCGTACTTCGGGAGCTGTTGACGTCATCAGCTGCATTGTAGATAGGCTAGATAGGATCTGCCATCTGTAGTCTGGGCGCCGAGCGCCAGATAGGATATCGACATTGGTTCTTCGTTGATGATGATGAGACTATTC